TAACTTGTAAACTTTTTTCTTCCTGTTTATTAGTTTGGTCATTATTTCTTTCCTATGCAAATTGCCAAATAAATAAATAGGGATTTAATAATAGGTAATAATAAATAAACTTCTAGTGAGTGCTTATATTTTATGTCCTATATATGGTCTCTCAGTTTTATAATTGCAAGCTTCTTTTAATGATATTTCTGAATTTCCCAATTTCTCTTGACAGCTGAGATCATTATCAACATAAATTACTTTTTTTTTTTTTGAGACAGAATCTTGCTCTGTCTTCCAAACTGGAGTGCAGGGGCACAATCTTGGGCTCACCACAACCTCTGCCACCTGGGTTTAAGAGATTCTCCTGCCTCAGCCTCCCAAATAGGTGGGACTACAGGTGAGCGCCGCCATGCCCCATTAATTTTTGTATTTTTAGTAGGGATGGGATTTCTCCATGTTGGCAAGGATGGTCTCAATCTCTTAACCTCATGATCCTCCCGCCCTGGCTTCCCAAAGTGCTGGGATTATTGACATGAGCTATCACGTGCCACCAAATTACCTCTATTTTAAGGTATACCTAATAGTTCTTAGCTTACAAATTTGGAAGTTGGTGTATATACCCTATTTGAGGTTATCTAAAATATATTTCCATAAAATTATATCCAGTTTGAGTTTACCAAAAAATTTTATTAATATTTTATCTGCTTACTAATTCATCTCCTCTTCAATGTGTATGTTTATGTATACGTTTGTATGTTATATATGTATATACACACAAATACACACATATATACACATATATATCATTATATATACATATATATTTCACACACACACACACACACACACACACACGTATCACTTACTGTACCACTGGGTGGCGTAGTCTTCTAGCGCTCTCTTTTCCATCGTATACACATGGGATTCTCAAATAAAAGAGGAGATATGTTAGCAGAGGTCCTGTGTATTCAGCCAAAAATACCTGAAAATAAAAGATGATTTCGATTAAACAATAAACATAGATGTGTTTAAGGTTTATTTGTGTCTATGAGTGTTAGCCTACTGGATAAATTGGTGAAATAGACAGATGAATTATTTTTT